ATTGATTCAGTTTGGCTGAGAGGGTGGTTGATGTAACTGTGTTGATAATTTCTTCAATTTGTCTTGCCCTCTGCTTGAAACATCACGTTGTACAAAGAGTGGTGGCCTGAGGGACAGCTGGGGAAGACCTAGTTGTGGATTTGACCCTTCCGGAGAAGGGTCACCCTGGCCAGGTTCCAATACCTCTCTGATCCTTAGTTTCCTGTTAGGTGGGAGAAAACCTTAAAGGGCATTCGTGCATTCTTCCAGAGCTTGCATACCTGCCACAGAATTACCCAGCCCCTAGTGATGAGGGACCTGTCACGTCCCCAAACGGCTGAGCCACTCAGTCTCCCTAGACAGACCTGACTGTTGGAAAATTCTTTATGTTGAATCGACATCTGTTTCTCTACAATTTGCACTCGTTGGAGCCATACAGAATAAAATGTCTAATGCTGCTTCCACAAATATTTGAGGACTGCTAACACATTTCCTTCTTCCACTCACTCCACAAGGCTTCTTTTCTTCCAGCTGAACATGCCCAGTTATTTTAAACAGGGAGGCAGTGTGGGGTGGTGGAAAGAACGCCAGCTTTGGAGCCAGACACATCTGTGTTCAGTTCCCAGTCCTTTACATACTAACACTCAGTGCTCTGAGCCGCTGTATCTTTCTCTGCGAGATGTGGACGAAAATAGTCATCTCACTGAGTTATTGTAAGGATTAGGGATAAATTGGTGAAGATCCATGCTTAAAATATGAGAGCGGCTATGCCTTCAGTGACATAATTTGTAATGCATTTTAGGTGATCCTCTCTGAACGCACTCCTGTTTATGGGTCTCTTAAATTGCTTTGTAAAACAGAATGAAATACTTTCTGTGAAGTCTAACTAGCAAAATAGAGTAGGATTAGTTCATCCTGGGTACTTCTCTCATTACATTCTGCAATCTACAGTGGCATTTTTTGAGCCATATCACATTGACTGACTGTCACCTAAAGCCCTAAGTCTCTAATATGTGCTGCTGTTCGACCAAATTTCTCCCATGTTGAACTTCCTCCATTTATTTGAATCGATAATTATAGGTGGCTCTTCAAAGTGGCAGTCCCAGTTCTGTCTCGTTGTCTACAGAAATAGCCTTGTGCCTGTCATCGTATAGGTCTCAGACTGGGGTTAGAAAAATACGAGTATTGAACTTTCGGTGCCAGCCCTGCTGATCTCACACCGCTGTTGCACAATGAATGCTGAGTGTTCCGCACTATTTTTTGCACAAACCGAGGACTTATTATGGGGGACCATCTTAGGGTTGGAATGTGACAGGAGTGCATGATAAGCTACTGGTCCAGGGAGTGCGCTGCATGGGATGTCGGTCGAGTGTGTTGTCTGCATCCAAGAACGGAAAGGGTGTACCGAGAGCAAGCCGGAGGCAGACTTTGGATTTATGTACGGTTACATGTTTTCTCAGACGCTTGGACTGTTTTTTACCTTGAGCCAGATTCTCCCTGGTGGAGGAAGCTTCTTTCTGGAAGTAAGTCAGGCACATTTAGGAAATTCATTAACCCTTTGGCTCCTGGGGCATTATCGCTAGCATTTCCTCCCTCAACTTTGGAAAGCCAGTTCTCATAGTATCCTCTGCGTGTTCAGACTCCTTGTCTCTGCACTGGAGGGTCTTCCGAATGGGAATGTTTTCTTCGCCTAAGCCAAGTTCCGGGTTTGAAGTCCTCAACCCTTGATTCCTCCTTCCCCGTGGAAGCTTTTCCTAGCCACTCTGTCCAGGAGCGTTTCCCTTGAGTGCCCGATTTAGAATTCCTGTTGCCTTCGAGAGCATCTTCGGTCCCCTCTTCACCCCTCCCCCCAACAGTTTCTCCTATCTGCCCACTTGTTCTGTGGCTTTCAGAATAAGATCCTTTGTGAGCATTCAGTTCATTAAACACAAAACCGCCTTCATCTTGGGTGCTGGTGCTTCTGGTGTGGTGAGAGTGAAAGTGTGGAATCTGTGGGGCTCCACAGTTCTATGGACGACAAATACGAAAAGAAAATAATGCAAAGGTTGTTACTGTTGTCTTCATTAAAATGGGAAAACCTTTACTCCGTTGACTGATTTAAATTTTGCTAAGTAATTAATTCAGTCCTTAAAAGGTGGTAGTTAAAATAGGTAATCCTCTACTTTTCAAGAGAGTAATTTATATTTTGGTGAGTAACCAATTAAAGCCATAAAGGGTTTACATCCATCTGTGGCTTCTCATTTTCTTTTGGACAGATTCCGAACTCCTCAGGATGAAATACTGCTTGTAGCCTAATTTTTTGCCTGTCGGCACCAGGCCTAAAGGACTTGCAGCTTTCCCCCAAAGGTTGTGCGGTCCTGCGCCTCCGGTGCTTTGCAAATGCCGTCCCCTCTGGTTGGAATGCTCTTTGTCTCTCTGGTAAATGTCTATTCATCATTCAAGACTACCCGCCCCCCTCCCCTTAATTACTTCCTCCCCTGTGCGCCCTCAAATTCTTGTACTTATTCATGCAGTATTTATTAGGGGCCTGCTTTGTGGCTGGCACTGTGGCGGGCTCTGGGGATACAAAAGGTGAATAATACTTGGGCTTGGCCTTTAAGGGCCTTCCATGTTAGGGGGAGGGGGCCAACCTGTCAAAAAATGTTGCCGGGAACTGAAAGGGAAGATTTAAGCGGCATCAGTTCTTGTCTGTCTTCCCCACCGGATGGTCAGCATCTTGTGGCATGGGCCATTTCGCATTCATCTCCGTATTTCCGGCGCTTAGCGCGCATTGTAGGTCCCTTTCACGACCCTGTTAATCGGACCCCACTAGAAATGTACCCTGGGTTGCGCCACATGTTTCGATGATAGCCCATACGTGGTGGTTCCTCCTATGGCTGGCTGGCGGCCCCTGGCTCCCTGTGCAATGTTAGGTGCCGGGTGGGCTTGGCCGGGCTCGGCGGGACTGGCCTTTTGCGATTCGTGTGCTTGGCTGCGCTGTCTGCCGCGGAACGGCCTGCGCGGGCGGGTGCGAGTGGAAAGAGAGGCCTGCAGCGCCCCCGCTGGAGGGAGCCGGCACTGCTTGGGCTGCCTGGCTCGCTCGCAGCCCGCGTGCGTTCGTCAGAGTTTAAGTTTACAGCCAGAAAATGAACACAGACACTGTGATTCTCTACACTTTTCTTTTCAAAGGCATAATATGTGCCTTTTAAAGGATTATCGATGAAGAAAAAAATTCCTTCCTTCTTTCCCGTACCACTGGCGCCCTTGCGTTGTGATTCAGTCGGCATTCTAAAAAAGGGGAGTTTTAGTCGCATAAATGCGAAGATCATTATTTCTGGTGCTGTACCGGCCCTTGGCTGGGAGCGGGTGCCGAGAGAGGGCTGCGGCGGGGCTCTGGCATGCCGACCACGTAGCGCTGCTGCAAAGGAAACGTGCCTGGCGCCGCGGCCATGGCCGTGGTTGAGCGAGAGAACCCAGACTTTTCCCCAAGTTTTGCCCTTTTTGCTTCCTAACCACCACCCCCCGAATTAGCTGATGAGATTGGTAGGAGGTCCAGCAGAGCTTATTGTTTCCTAGACATTCGGTTGTGTCCTTGGTGGTTACCCACAGCTCGGGACCTGCGAGGTGTGGGGCACTCGAAGACCACTGCTTTGGACGGAACCCATGCCTCGGGCGTGGTATAGACCGAGAGCAGGCACCACAGCTGGCCACCCTGAGCCCCACCACACCTGAGGTCGAGTGGCCACCTCTGGGGTTGGGGAACCTGTGGGTGGTGGTCCACGGGTAGGGGTGTATGTTCGGATTTCAGAGTCTGCCTTTTCCTGTGGCGTTAACTCGCCAGAGGAGAATTTCTGCTGCGGAACCTGGAGCTCAGAGTT